GAGTTCGGTGATCTCTTGGACAAATCACCCTCTAGGACGCCAAGATAGGTTCGGTTAGGAAGGGGAGGAACAAGGGAAAACAGGAGCTTTTCCCCGTGGACCGACCCGTGACACGATCCTACGCCCGGGCCCATAACAAAGGAGTGGGGAGAGAGCAAATATTTTGGGTGCAATTGTAAAAAAATGTAAATGTAAAGGGGAGAGATCATCTGCTATCTCGTATTTGGGTGGATATATATGCTCTTTTAATTGTTAATTTTATAAAAGTAATGATTATTGATAAAGAATATTTTTAGGTTTTACCAATTGTGTTTACTAAAATATCTCTATACATACAGTATTTACCCTTTCTATATGTTCCATAGTCTTTAACAAAGAAAAATTCTTACTCTAATCTCTCTTCCTATATGTGTGTTGCTTGATTTTGTTGTATTGTGAGACAAAATAGCTAGATAAGAGAAATATTTATGTTTGCTTTTTCATTGGGCTTATAGACATTGCATTATCAACTTCAGAAAGAAAGTGAAGCACATGGTGTTGCTGTTCATTTCCTCATGATTGACAGGTCAGCCTTAGTCTTGATTCCTTGTACTTCCAGTTGGCACTATGTTCTTTTCATTTATTTTTTAATATATTTGCATCCTTTTTCTTGTTAAGTATTCTATATGTTATCATTTTGCTGGTTCTCTTTCCATGTTGTCACTTCTTTCTTTGTCAACCCTATTACCAGATTGAGGGCCATGACCCAATGGTAGTCCTGGCTATCTACAGCCTTGGGTGGTATAGATTGGAAATGGTAACATTTGGCCTTTTTTTGTTTTCTTTTTTTGGGCATATATAGTGGCCATTCTTATGCTTGTTAGCCTGAAATTCCTCTGAATTTTTCCTGCAAAAATTTAGAAGAAAACTGATCTCTATCAGTCCTTGAAAGCTTAGGTCGTGATAAGGTTTCTTGGAAGACAAAAGAGAAGAAGAAAGAACAAGAAAGAGTGGTGTTCTAGTCTGGCTCGCCCTCTTCTTCTTTTATCTCCTTATGGAGCACTTTTCCTAATCAAATTAGGAGATTATCCAAATTTAATTTGGATCTGGACTCTATTAAGCGATAAGCCTTGTCCTCTTAAGAGGATGGGTGCTCCATACCCATTTCCAAACCTAGAGCACATGACAACTTCAGGTTACTTAATCTTATTAACTATGGGCCTTAGGCCTATTTCCTTCAAAGGCTCACGACCCAAGATGTTGCATGGCCAACTTAGGTCTGATTTGTATAGTGTGAGACCCCACAATGACCTCACATAAGTCCACATGGGTTCGGCCCAACCTCTGTGAAAAGGCTTGGCCGAATTCACTACTAAATGTAATAAACCCATAAGCACATCACTATGGGCTCAATATGGGCCCAACATTTACACTTAAATGATCATTGAATTCAGCTATCTTATGAAGATCCAAGGATAATAGACTTAAGTGAGATAAAGCCCATTAGGTAATCAACCTTGTAATGGTCTCTCAAAGAATCATTCAACCTAAAAGTTTAAGCTGTTAGGTGAGGTCCTTGAATAGCTTGATATTTTCTAACATGCCCCCTCACACGAAAGCCCATTGAGCTTGAAGTGTGAACAAGCACAAGCCCACCCATACCTTGTGCTAAAACTTAATTAATGGGGGTAATGAGGATTGGACACTAGACCACTTGGTCAAAGTGGCTCTGATACCATCTTAAAGAACCATTCAACCTAAAAGCTTAAGCTATTAGGTGAGGTCCTTGAATAGGTTGATGTTCTCTAATAGTCTCTTACACTTAACCTCTTCACCCATAATGATCACAACAATGCCCAATGGGAAAGGACCTCTCCCTTGGTTGCAAGGTACAGTGTCACGTCTCTGCTCGGATGGATCTTAGGAATTAAAACCTTTTGCGAACATTTTTTCTAAAACATTAATATATTTCATATAAATATATTTTGCAAAACCAAATCCCAAACGTAGTTGAAATCCATTGTCGGCAGTTTAGGTTTCCACTTGGGAGGGTGTAAGCCCTATCGTTCACTTTGTCTAACAAAGGGGTTGATCCTATCACTATGATCACCCACTCAAGTGAATTCTCAGACTGCCCCAACATACCCAGGTTTTGACCCTCAATGGATGTCACTGATTGGCATATCAAAAATAGCCCAATCCAATACCTAATGCAGTACCATAATCAAGTCTAGGGGTTATGTGTAACTTTCTACTTTTGCCCATCAATCTCCAAGGTTCAGGGCATAATTGGAAAATTGTCCGAATTCAGTGTTTCATCCAAACACACACTTCATGTGCTTTGGGTCTATAACCCTAGCAGCTAAGACAAGCTGCCCCAACTTCTTTGGTAGCACATCAGTGTCAGCCAATGTTTTAAAATGTGGAGGCGTGACATGAGGCATTCCACTACCTAGAGGCGTCAGGCGTAGTTCAAAACACGAGACGTAAGCCTCCCGAACGCCTCCTTGAGAGGAGGGGGTTAGGAGGAGGATGAAGAGGAATGGGGGATCTCATTTATTCTTTACTTTTAATAAAAGTCTTTTATATTAAGAAGAATAAAGATGCATAACATTAGTTGAAAGGGGGGTTCTTGTCGAAGCGGAGGCAAGTGAGCGAAGTGAGCTCACCGAAAAGGGGGCGGGGGGATCTGGGGCACGAAGTTCCCCAACCGAAGGGGCAGGGGTCTAACCACTTTCTTTCCCCTTATCTTTTCTTCCCTTCCCTTCCCTTTCCTTTTCTTTCCTTTTCTCTTTTTTTTTCTTCTCTTTCTTTTCCTTTCCTTTCTTTTTTTTTTTCTTTTTTCTTTTTTTTTTGTCTTTTTATATCAGATGTGCATGAGGCGCATGAGGCATACGCCTCTAGCATGCCTCATGAAAAAAGTGCAAGAGGCATACGCCTCAGAGGTGTCAGCGCCTCTGGCATATGCCTCAGGGCATTTGGGAGCGCCTCTCTTGGAGGTGCACCTCCAGGCATATGCCTCCCACGCCTTTTAAAACACTGGTGTCAGCCTTGGCAGGATAAACTCCCAAAGTTTATTCAACAACTGAGAATATTCTAAATTAACACAAGTCTCATAAGTGTCCAGTTTAAGGGGTAATTTCATGGAAACATACCAACATCAACATGAAACAACAACGTACGTTTATTCATTTACAACATATGTATATATACATCAATTTGATTGAAGCTAAGAGCATACACTATCTAACAGTTGGGGGCCTTGAAGTCCTTGGGTCAAGGAGCCAAAAGAATCTTGGCCCCCAGCGGTGATACATAGGTGATATGCAAAGTAGACGAATTGGCGACCCGAATGACCTCTTCCCTGGGTTTTGTTGAGAGCGTATGTGGCATCTCTTTTGGGACCCCTCTGCTGCACCAGTGTTGGTGGGGTCAGCCATTGAGCTAGCTTGGCTAGTTTCTTCGAACTGGGTGTATGAGGAATCCCAAGCTTTCAGAATGCAAGTCTGGGCTTGGTTGTTTACTCCCTACTCACGGCCCTGGTTCTGGTCGTTCTAGTCGCGGGGAGGAGCTAGCACTTGGCTCTAAGCCCGGTTTAACTTGTTGGGTTGCTACTCCTGGTTCGCATTCATCACCGTGAAAGGGGCTTGACTGGTGACTTACTACTTTTGCTGCTGCTGAGGTACCTGCAACATTTGCATGTCGGGCACAAACTGGTGGGGCATTGAGACCATTCCAACATTTGCATCTGCAGATCTATGCCGTAGACGTATTGCATCAACTCATAAAACCGGTGGCCATCAATCCCTACGTGAACTACTGAGGGCTCAATTGTCGGGAGAGGCGCAGTCTATGAGGGTAGAGGGAGGTTTAGTCCTGGGGTGGCTGCGATGCCTGGCATAGTAAGAGGGATAGTGAACTGTTCGATCATGATGGATAGGTTCTTCATGTTTGACGCAGATTGGTTTTGCCCTCCAAGTGTAATGCCGTCAACCTGGTTGTTGTTGGTGTTAGTGTTGGCATTGCTCAGAGATGCCATTGCTCGTTTAGTGAAAAGGTGAGAACTTGATATTTTGTAGCGAGTTCCCACAGATGACGCCAATTAATGGTGCGCGATCTGGTTGTTCCCTATTGGATGATAGCTAAAGTGGTTGCTCCTTGCTAGATGACAACTTTGATGGCGAGCCGAGTAGGTCGGTGGGGCGAGTAGAGATCAAAGTGTGCAGGATGCTCTCCTGGTGTAGGCACTCTGATGCTTAAGTCAGCGTAGAGAGTTTTAGAGAGCTAGAAATTGAGAAAGCAAGAGAGCTGTGAAAGTTAAGTTGTGCGTGCATTTTGTGAGAGAGGGGATGCCTTTATATAGGCATAAGGAATCAGGAGCTTTGTGTAATGGGTTCAAGATCTCTGGGAAGCCATGTCCGCCATATTTGGGGGCGATTTCTTAGTTGGAAAACGTGATCCACATAGGGGAATAATGTTCGTCAAATCAACTTCGGAGTGGACGATGCAGAGAGAGGGGTCTAATGGTTGAGCGTCGTGATCCCAGAGTAGTTAGGGACAATAACTCATGAAGGAGACCAATTGCCACGTCAAGAAGGTTGGCAATTGGTCCCAATCAGGTCAGTTGGGTCTCAGGGGAGGTCGCCCTTGACGCCGAGGTCCCAAGCTCAGTCGTGATCAGGTCGCCCTTAATGCCGAGTTTCCTAGTTCAGTCCTGATCAGGTCATTGGGTTTGATTTCTGACGTAGCTCTATGTTGTTTGAGGTGTGAGAGTCTCCTCTAAGGTGTATTTGAGGTGCGTCCGATGTGGCTTGGAAGTGCCATGTGGCGTGTTATCATTGGAGGGCCAAATTCTTCTTCATCATTTGTCAATTAGAAAATCAATTAGCTAGCATCCTCGCAAAAGGAGTTCTGAAATCCAGGATTGATTGTGTTTTTGGCTAGCTGGGCATGCTTAGCATCTACATTGAGATTGAGGAGGATATGTTAAATGAGTTAATAATTGAATGTGGGAGCAAAATCATATGTTTTCCATAGGTATCCCATTGTCTGAATTCAAATCCAATTCCCATTAAGGGTGATCCAAATTCAATCCATTTATAATTGGATCAAATATAGTCCACCCCTATATGATCCGATTTAAATCCAATTTGATTTGATTTAAATATGTATGCTCATATATACTTCAAATTTATATTGTATCTATTAATAAAGTTGATTTCAATGTTGTGTTTTTACTAAAGTTTTCATAGGTTCAAGTTTCATATGAGTAATTTTCAATTACTTTTGTTCATAAAATATAATATTGCAATCATTTTTAATTCATTTTATTAATACTATATAATATTCTGATCATTTTTAGTTTAATTTATTTATACTATTCATTATTGAACATCCGATTGCTTCCGAATTCTATTTGAATCTGACATAAGTCCAATTGATAAGATCCAATTGGAATTCGAATATAAACCAAGAAAATTTGAATCTACCTATATCCGGTCCTATTTGATCTGTTTGATGCCCTAGTTTTCCATTTATTTTATTTAATGGAATAGGCTGGTTGACTAACCTATTAGGCAGTCACCAAAATGTCTCCTTTCTTTTCTTCTTTATCTCTTATAATAATCACTTAACTTCATAACACAAAAACAAGTTTTTATTTTTAATTCCCGTAGGTCTCAAAATAGACCACTGGTTTTGTATGTTGTACATTTTTATTTTGGTTCTAGTACTTATTAAGAGTTTGGAATTGTGCAGGGTTATTCTTTTTACCAAATTTTATTTCTTTATCTTTCATTTGACCATTAATTGCTGGTTGCCAAATTGCTGGATTGGTAGCTACAACTCATGGAGGAGCTGCTGCAGTTGTTATATGGCATTCAGATGGACTATATCAGAATAGATAGGAGGGTATGGGCTTGGGAGAAGACTGGTAAATATTCTGTCCGATCTGTGTGCTACTATTTGACTAGATCCAATGAGCAAGAAACCCCTAGCAACTGTATCTAGGGCAAGTGCATCTCTTGGTAGCATTTTTTGTGTGGAGTGCCTACTTAAAGTGGAATTCTTACAAGAGATAATCTGGTGAAGAGAGGTATGGATCTGGATTATGCAAATTGTGTACTTTGTGAAGGTTGTCTGGCCAGCATCTGTTAAGGACTTCATGAAGGGGTGGAGGTTGGAACTTGGAAGTTTTGAGTAAGAGGGGTAAGGCATGGAGCATAGTCCCTGTGGCCGTTTTCAGGGTTATATGGCAGAAAGAAACACAAGGATCTCCCAGAACGCTCAGCAGAATCAATGGTGCAAAAAGTAGTAGGAAAAATGCATTCCTTGTTGGCTTCACAAGTGTCTTAAAGGACATAGTTATAGCTCTTTTTTTCATAAATTATACTCATTTTGTAAACACTCATGGATCAATGGTGCTATGATATATAAGGGAGGTGTTTTTTGTAACTTCCCCTTGTACAGCCTCCAGTTGTACAGGGTTTTTTTCTATTATTAATGAGACTTTGTACTTGTACTTTTCCTTTTCTCAAAAAAAATGTTGTTTGGATTGTTTTCTATACAGTTGAACAAATCTCCGAAACAGTTATGAATTTTTCAGATATTTAAATTTGAGTTGTAAACATTTTTCCTTCTTAATACATAACCTTTTGGCCTTCTGGTTATACTATCTGGGGCTTAAGTAATTCTTTGTGAATGATTCAGTTGCACAAATAGTTGTATCTTTCACCACATTCAAGTAGACTGTTCAGAAGAAGATTAATCTACTTATGTTTTAGAAACTAAATTCAACTCTTATTTTTCCCAGCATAAGTGCTTTTTATTGGATAGATCGAGCTTCAACGCCATTGCCATTGGGATTTGATAAAAGGTAATTAACCAATTGAATTATTACAGTTGAATATATTCTTCAATTCTTGCATCGTCTGCTTCCTTGCTATTCATAGATGAGGCTAATTGTTTTCTATTCTATTATTGCTTGCTGTATGATGGATGTAGTCTTAATTATCATATAAAACATTTATATTTGATTTTTCTCAATGATTTTTACAAGAGAAAGACATGAGGACATGCATTGCTTTTATTATGTGCTGGTTTGCTTTGAGATTGGGACTAAAGAAAAATCTAGCCTAGAGTGAAATATTTCCTTTAGGAGAGGTCCCAAGTATGCAAGATTTGGCCTCTATACTGCATTTCTGATTTGGTTCTTTACCAACCATTCTAGGCCTTGCTCGTGGTGTTTATTACAAGCCTAAGGCCATATGGGATCGATTAATGGAGCAATTTGGGTGGAAAAGTCATACCAATCTAAAGGAGAGAAGTTAACCTCCGTGTAAAGAGCAGTCTTAAATCTGCTAGTATATTATTTATTCCTCTTTCAAATTCTAGCATCAGTAGCACAGACACTTAGAAAGTTGGAAATGCCTTGTGGGATCCCAATGATGAGAAGTACCACCATGTGGAGTGGTCATGTATGTGTTTGACTGTTTGCACAAGGACAAGGGTGGTTTGGGACTTCTCAGAACCAAGGATATAGCCATTCTTGGTAAATGGCTATGGAGGTGCATGTATGAGCAAAATGAACTGTGGAGAGAGAGGTGATTACAGAAAAATATGGTTTTAAGGCTTTTGATTGGAAATCCCTCACAGCTCACACCTCAAACATCATATGGCACTGGTCTATGAAAGGAGGAAGGAAAATCTTACAAAATTCAAGCGATTCATATCATTTAATCCAGGTGAAGACATGGGATACAATTCTGGCTTGATTCAAGATCTAGGGACTTTCCATTGGTAATCATCTAATATTGGTGACCAACAATGAACATGCTTTTCCTGAAGAATTTCCATACTTACTAGGACCTTAGACTTTCTCATTGTAGGAGTAAAGGTATTGCATTGAGAATATGCCAATAGTATCTAAAATAACATCCTTGATCACACTTTTTATCAATAATAGAACTTTTTATTCTTTAGCCTTAACCTTTCCAATACTGCCATAATCTCAGCTCTACGAGAATCCCTCACCCCATCAAGTCCGGAATATTGCACAATAACTTTACCTTTCTCATCTCTGAAAGTTTTTCCAATACTTGAAGGTCTTGGATTACTTTCATTGCTCCCATTCCCATCAAAGTTCAATTTAATAAATCCAGGAGCTGGTGTAGGCCAAGGGGAGCCTAGTTTTCATTTGGATTGGTGCTGAATTAACCACTTCCAATTTCTAATCAACATTACTGTAGAGATGTCTTCAAACAGATCTACTGATTTTAACCACAGCACAATTCTAATAGTTACAACTTCAATTATTGCCTCTTTACTCTTTAGTAAAAATCTGTGAGTTCCTTTCTTCCCAGATTGTCCAGCAAATGGCAGCCCGTAGGCCCCGTACACATCTCCATATTGCTCTGCCCCTCTTCTTTGACCACCTAACAAAGGAAGAAGCAAACAAACCTTGTATACTTGGCGTGGGAGTCCATCTACAACCAAACAAAGAATCTGAAATAATAGAAACAAGGGTGCAGGATGGTAACAACTCTCACTGTTGGCCTTACAAAGGATACACCAACTAGGGGATAAGCACCAAATGGGTATTTTGCTTTGAAGAAAATGACAAGTACTGCACCTTTCCGAAAAAGGTTCCCAACAAAAAGCTCCAATCTGAGGAGGAATTAGTTTACTCCAAATTTTTTGAATAGAAGTCCAAGTCCAAATTCTACTATCTTCCTTTGAAGGATCCAAAACCACCCCACCCAATATCTAAAACAAAGCCAAGACATTCTTAGTTTAGAGTCCCTAAGACCCCTTCTAGGGTCCAAGTCCCAATTGAAACCATACACTGACTTTTGAAGGGACCAAGAAAAAACAGTCTCCTTCTTGAATAATGAGAGGGGATACAATGAAGGGAATTATTCTTTCAAAGGCACATCCCCAACCAAAATGTCCCCAAAATTTCACACACATTCCAAAGCAATGGTTATACTTAATAAATGATATGAAGGTAGAATGGCATGAATGGATCTCCATGGGAAAGCTTTTGTAACCCTTGCCAAGATTCTCGCATCCCAACCATTAGTTGCTTGCCCATGAATACTCAAAATTACCTTAGCCCACAACTTGTCCCTATCCTTTACAACCATTTCCCCAGTATTGCTTCATTCCTCTTTTGGATGTTTCCAATGCCTAATCTACCATCAGTCCTGCTTTTAGTGACCATCTCCCAACCGACTCTATTATCTCTTTTCTCTTCCCTAGGCTCCCATAAGAAATTTCTCATCAATTTTTCCAATATTCTACTCACTTTTTTTGGGATCCTAAAGATAGATAAAAATACACAAGCAAGTTTGTCAATGTAGATTTTATTAGTGTGATTCTACCACCCAAGGACAAACAATTCTTTTACCAAGAAGCTAATCTCTTAGTAAATCTATCCACCACCAGGCCCGAAAACTGTTATTTCTTGGATTATCCCCTAAAGGCATTCCTAGATAATTCAAAGGCCATTGAAAAACCAAATGTCCTAGAACTTAGCCCTCTTTATCACCTTCCTCTCATCCAACTTTAGATTCTTGACCTACCTAATATCATCCCCTTGATAGAACAAAATAGTATCATTAGCAAGCTATGAGTGAGTAACCGGTATCCTATCCCTGCCAATGCTCCAACCCCTCACCAGATTTATGGAATCCACCCTCTATTAGCTTGCCCAACACTTCAGCAATTAGAGTGAAAAAGAATGGGGAAAGGGGGTCACCTTGGCTAATCCCCCTAACTGCCAGAAAATGGTCTACCACTGTTTCATTCGGAAGAATTGAATAATGGCAAGTTAAATACACCTTTGTATCCATTTACACCATCTCTCCCCAAAACCAAAAGCCTCCATCACCTATATCAAAAAAGACCAATCTACCATATCATATGCCTTCTCAAAATCAAGTTTACACACTAACCCCTTTCTGCCATCTCTCCAAGTCCTCCACACTCTCATTTGCAATTAGGATTTGATCAACTATTTGTCTATTCATCACAAAAGGCACTTTGATTACGTGACACTAGGTGTGACAAAACAACTCTAATTCTCAGATAGAGCACCTTAGCAGTTATGTCATGATAGCTTATCCTATGCTGTTTTTCGATTAGACAACGATGCAAGTTGTTGATCTTTGTGTTTGGCCACATATTCCTTCTCTTTGATGGTTGATTTTATAATATCATTTCTGCCAACTATTGCATTTCGATATTTGTTGTCATTTAGTGCTAGCATTCAATGTTGGCAATACAAATAGGTCTAAATTCCATAAAATGAACTATTGATTGCACTCAAGCAGTGTGGATTTTCTTTTCTTTTTGAAATTTTACATTGTGATTGGTGAAAAATGAAATCACAAGACATTTCAGTTTATGTACGATCACCATCTATTATGCAAAAAAAAAAAAAAAATTCCTTGCATGAATTGAAGCTAGACCTTAATTTCGTTGTTTAGAGGATCTTTTTTTTGATAATAGAAAATGCAAAACATGAAGGTTTTTCTTCTCTCTAGAAAGAAAAATAGATAATACATCTTTTGGGTGTGGCTTGAATCAAGTGAGGCAACAAGGAAAATACCTGAAATGAAGAGGAAATTGTTCTGGCAATTTGTTTACAAGAAGGCAATTAATTGCAAATTTATTTTAAAAATCCTAAGTTGGAGAACAAGGTCTTCAATTACTACTCTATATAAGTCAATCCAAATAGTCTGGTTATTTATCTCTTTAATGTTTGTTTTCTTTTGTAGAAAGAGCCTTTCCCTTCAAACTGTAGCAGAAACTGTTGTTCAGGAGATCCGGAAGCTTCTACAGATGCAACCAATGCTTGTTTTGGTGACAAAAGCAACCCTATTTGGGGATGGGTCTTTAACAAGCAATGCAAAAAGGTTAGTGTTTGATGTTGCAATGTAAATAGAAATGATTTGATCTGGTTATTTTAGTTGATCTCCTTTTAAATGTCAAGTACTTCAATGTGGTGCACTGCTACTAAGTTACGAGTTGTGATTGAGAATGACAGTGAAAGAAGAAAGGTCATTCAACCCTTCTCTCCAATAATTTATGTTATGCTTGAAATAAAAACTCAAGGGCATTATTAACAGCAGAATAGAGGAGAAATAAGGAAGAAGAAGAGGAGAGAAGGGAGAAGAGAAGAGAATGCTTTGGAGTCAACTGAAAAACTGGTTGGTGGTGCCAACTTATATTATTATATATAGGGCGACCATAATTAAAAGGGAAAAGACCTTTATGCCCCTACTTAAGTTAGAGTACATAAACAATGATAAAAAACTACTTTAACCAAACCAAACAGACCCTAACTCAGCAGAATACAAACATAGAAAATAAAGTAAGCATTTCAACACTCCCCCTCAAGTTGGGACATGGATGTTAATCATGCCCAACTTGTGAAGATGTCTGCAAGTTCTTTTGAACTGACATATGGAGTACACACTTTGCTCACAAGTTTTTTTCTATAAAATGCTTGTCCACTTCAATATGTTTTGTTCTATCATGGAGGACTGTGTTAGCGGTAATATTTATAGCAGCTTTGTTGTCATAGTAGAGTGACAGGTTTGTTAACTGCAAAACCCAACTTTTCTAACAAGTTTTTTATCCACATGATTTCAGCAACTCCATGAGACATCGCTCTATATTCTGCTTCAACACTGGATCTAGCCACTACATTTTGCTTCTTACTCTAGGTGACTAAATTTCCCCCCACAAAGGTACAATACCCACTAGTAGATTTTCTATCATCGATTGCCCCTGTCCAATCAGCATCTGTATACACCTCCACCTTCAAATGCCCATGCTTCTGAAATAGCAAACCAACTCCCTGGGAACTTCTTGAGGTATCTAAAGATCCTTTCTACAACTTCAAAGTGAGTTGTCTTAGGGTTATGCATGAACTGACTAAGGACACCCATTGCATAGGCAATATCAAGTTTGGTCATAGACAAATATAAGAGTCTCCCTACAAGTCTCTAGAACTTATTCACATCTTTCAAACACTCCCCCTGACTGTCTCCTAGCTGATGGTTGGTTTCAATGGTTGAATCATTTGGTTTCACTCCTAACTTGCCTGTGTCCTTTAATAGATCTAGTACATATTTCCTTTGGGAAATAAATATGCCCTTTTGAAAGCGGGCAACTTCAATCCTAAGGAAATAACGTAAGGGGCCTAGATCTTTCACCTCAAATTGAGTGGCTAGGAATTTTTTCAACTTTTGTATTTTAGTCTTCCAATCTCCTATGACTATGTCATCAACATACACAATTAAAGCTGCAATTTTCCCTTCACCTTTCTTCACAAATAGAGTATGACCTGACTGGCATTGTCTGAATCCCATTTGTTGTACAGTTAAATGAAACTTAGTAAACCAGGCTAGGGGTGATTGTTTCAACTCATATAATGATTTTTTTAACCTGTACACCTGCTTACTACCTTTGACACAAAACTTAGAGGTTGAATCATGTAAATCTCCTATAGGTCACTATTCAAGAATGCATTTTTAATATCCAACTAGTAAAGTTCCCTGTCAAGATTAGCTACCAGTGAAAGGAGGATTCTGATCGAATTCATCTTGGCTATTGGAGCAAAGGTCTCTACACAATCTAGCTTTGTACCTTTGTACCGAACCATCAACCCTATGCTTTACTGTGAATGCCCACTTGCATCCCATTGGTTCCTTCCCTTCAAGAAGATCCACCAACTCCCAGGTGCCATTTTTGTGTAAGGCATTAGTTTATTCTTTTTGCATCTGTCTATTCATGTTTGAATAAAGCTTCTATCACATTCTTAGGAACAGGGACAATGTCAATAGAGAAAAGGAATGCACAATATGAAGGTGAAATATGATCGTAGGATACAAAGTGAGAGATAGGATGATTAATAGTAGAAGATCTAACACCCTTTCTCTTAGCAATAGGAGCATCAAGATCATTAATAACAGGGGGATCAATATTAAGAGGTTCAAGCATATCAATGGGAATAAGTGTACTTGGATGATGAGGTGGATCTACTTTTGGAGAATCCGATGATGTTAGTTGCATAGTTTCAGGTTCTACAGCTCTTGAACTTAGCTGGCTCTTATGGCGGTGAAGAAAGACACGAAATGGAGGAGGATTAGGAAGAAGAGAAATCTAGAAAAAAGGTTGACTCTCAAAGAAAGAAACATCCATGGAGGCATAGTACTTGCATGAAGCAAGGTCATAGCTACAGTAACCCTTTTGAGATAAAGGGTAACCAAGAAAAACACAAGGAATGCCACGAGGGTCGAGTTTACCGCAAGTAGAGGACGTTATGAATGAAGCGACAACACCCAAAGACACGCATTGGAATGGGGGATAACGGAGCTATAGGAAACAAAAGTTGATGTGGGGCCTTATACTCTAGTAACTGAGATGGCATACGGTTGATGATACATGCAGTACACATAACAACATCATTCCAAAAGCATTTTGGAACATTCATATGGAGTAATAAACTACGAGCTACTTCGAGAAGATGACGATTTTTGCTTTTAGAAATATTGTTTTGTTGGGGTGTCCTATCACAAGAGCTTTGATGAAGGGATCCACATGAAGCAAAGAACTCTATGAGATCACTGTGGAAGTATTCTTTTGCATCGTCCGACTGGAAAATATGAATTTTAGTCTGGAATTGAGTGAAAACCATGCGTTGAAAGTCTTTCACAATCTTTGGCACTTAGTCTCTAGATCGCATAGGATAAACCCAAGTATGTGTAGAGTAGTCATCAATCAAAGTAGTGAAATACTTATATTCAGTCTCAGTAGGTAGAGTAATAGGGCCCCAAACATCAAAGTAGGTAATATCAAAAGGAAATTCAGATCTTTTATTTCTTAAAGGAAAAGAATCTACAATGTTTGCTCAATTGACATGTCTGACACTGTAACTCACTAACTAACAAAGACTTAAATAACTCAAGAAACATAAGTTTTAAAGACTCACACAAAAGGTGACCAAGACGATTATGCCAGAAATAGGCATGGCTCTCACTAGACGAACTTTAGGACTCTGTAGCCACAAAACTGGCTTTATTCTCTAACATGTAGAGACCATCCGCCATGCTTCCTCTACCAATTGTCTTACCCTAGATCAAATCCTGAAAAACACATGAAGAAGGAAAGGTCACTGAACAATTCAAGGAGTGAGTAATACTACTAATGGGAAGTAAATTGATAGGTAATTTAGGAATATTTAACACATTAGAGAGGGTGAGACCAAGAGGAAGGGAGATGGTTCCTTGATCGGCTATGGTGGAAAAAGACCCATAAGCTAGTCTCACCTTATCTTTCCTAAAGAGGAGGTCATATGCTTGAAATAAATTTGGCTTACCAGTTATGTGGTTTGAGGCTCCAATGTCAATTATCCAAGGGGAATCAGATGTATGAGATGACACATGGAAAGCAGTGGCAGTGTTACCTGGTGTAGATACAAAGGAGGTGAGATTAAGGCCAGAATCCATCTGGCGAGGTGTCCTACCATATATTTCCAAGTGGTCACGAAAGGAGTTGATGATGCCTCTTCCTTGGGGTCAAAACCAGAGTGTCACTCCTGGAGTACCATGGGACTAGTCTCTTGAGATGCCACATTTGTTGAGTTATATTTCTTCTGACTTTGCTGGGTTGGCTTCTTACTCGGATCAGATTTCATACTCAATTCTAAAGTCCATTTAGGCTTGCCATGAAGGTCCCAACATGTGTCTTTATTGTGCCTGGATTTCTAATAGTGAATGCATCAAAGCTTGTCTTTGTCATCCACTTTCTTCTGTGAATCACCCCTTTTTAAAGAACCTCCGACATTTAAACTTGTACCCCTCGGATAGATAGTGCAACTGGTTCCCTCTCTGTACAATTCATCACACTTCTTCTACTCTCTTTAGACTGAACTAAGGCATAAACTTCTTGAACTGAAGGTAAGTTCTTACTTCCTAAGATTTGTACCCTCATGGATTCGTATGTAGGATTTAGCCCCAAAAGAAAAACAAATACCCATTGTTGGGAAACAAGTGACTTGTAGGCCTTTGCATCTTCATCACACTTACAATTAACATTTTGATAATGATCCAGTTCCTTCCAAATTGATGTCAGATCTGAGTAGTACGTCGAGAGACTCCTCTCCCCCTACTTGCAAGTGGAGGATTCGGCTTGTAATTGATATATTTTTGCATAATGCCTCTGCTCTGAACAGGTAGATTTGGCTTGTTCCCATATTTCACAAGCTGTTTCAGCCCACATAAAAGTCTTCCTTACTTGTGGCAGCATGGAAACTAAGAGCCATGACATCACCATACTATTTTCTTTGTCCCATCTGTCATGTTAAACACTACTAGTCTTTAGTTCCTTCACTTTACCATTAATATACCCTATTTTTCTTCTAGCAGTAATGTAAAGTTTAATTCCCCTAGACTATTCAAGATAGTTCAGTCCATTAAAGGGAATTACAGCCATGGGGAAACTCATATCCATCCCCCCCATTCATTCCATTTTGATCACCTGAAATTCCAGAAGTTGTAGAATTCTTAGAGGACATGATTCAAACACTTTTCAGATCCTACACACACCTTATGATCCCTCCTATCACCAAAAAAACAGTCCTAGAAACACACCAAGGAGCCCACATGCACACACTGCAATCTGGACACAATCTGAATAGAGACCAGCTTTGATTGTCCAAAAAGAGCAAGATTTTAGGTTGATCTCAGTTCTGTACTGCCCTAACAGTCACACTCCACCAACTTCCAGACCATCCAAATACATCGACTACCAGGAAGGGTCATAAAACAGTACGGTCACACCACTAGGGTTAAAAAACAGTCACACTCCACCAATCTTGTATTTTCAGGTATGGAATCACACGATCATT